TACTGTCTTAGTCACATGGGGAGGCGATGGCCTAGTGGTATTATCACTGGACTGTTAATCCAGAGACCCAAATAACATTCTGGGGACAGATGGTGGAATTTGAATTCAATAAAAATATCTCGAATTAACAGTTTATTGATGACCATGATTCCATTGTTGATTGTCAGGAAAAACCCATCTGGCTCATTAATGTGCTTTGGGGAAGGAAGCTATTATCATCTTTACCTTGTTTGGCCTACATGTGACTCCAGACCCACAGCAATATGGTTGACTCTGAACTGTCCTCTGGGCAACTAGGGATGGGCAATAAATGCTGCCTAGCCAGTGACGTCCTCAGCTGTTAATGAATTAATAAAACAGTAACTGCATGGCCTCACCTCTGAGCTGGTCACTCTGTGTCCTTTCCCAGTTTCAGTCACTCTGTGGTCCTATATTAGAAATGGTCTTGGTGCGGCCCTTTTAATGGTCTTTTTGTGATCTTACCTTAGTAGCACTGTAGCCATGTAACAGTTGCTTTATGGCCCTCTCTCATTTACAGTTACACTTAGTTGCAGACTCTATCACTGTTCTATTTGAAAAATAGACCAATGAGAGTTTTTTGTCTGTGGACTTATTCTGTCAGCTGTCTCCTCCTTCATCCAGAGGTAGAGTACTTGAAAGCTAAATGATTCACCATCTGATATCTTCGCTTAGAACTGTCATGATGCCCAGTCAGGAGCCGGGAGTTGAAAATTTGAGTTGTCACCTCTTTTGTTGAACCTGTACTCATTTCAAACACGTGCCACATATTGATATTCACATCTTTAATGTACAAGACAACCCACTCAAAGAAGATGTATTTTAGATCAAGTAGGTGTCATGTGAACAGCAGGAAAGCTGTTATAATGTTTTCATTGTCATGTTAGGTTTGAAACTGTTACAGCTAATATTCATATGTACTTTTTTCTGAACAAAATAAGTTGTGTTTCAGCTCATTTTAAGATGCGTCTTTTAATGATGGTTCATTTTGAGCAGTTTGACAATGGAAGGAGGCTCAGTCTGCATCACTGGCCATGCCATTACTGGTGATTCATGCATGGATGAAATGGTCTACATACTGTGTCTACAGACCTAGATGTAAAAATTGTGGCACTTTTGCTGTGCTGTTCCAAAATGTACTTTATTGAAGTTGTTTATTTTGTCATCAACATTTTGAATGAATTTCATGAGGAAAAATACGTTGCTGTATCTCAGTATTTGAAAGTGCTATAAGTATGTTGCATTTTTTGACCTGCAAAGGCTTGAGTTGGGTAGGAATAGGCTGATTTTAGCCCCACTTTGTTGATAACTATTTTTGTAATAGGAAACAAGGAAAATCTTTCAATACACACTTGATCTCTCATCAACATATTTAAGGACTGGAACTGTTATTTTAGACATACATAGGACACAAATTTAGCAGTAGGAACAACATTTGAGCAGACTGAGTGCAGGTTATCTCAATAATAAGTTGGTTGTTTCCACCCATTTTAGGCCCAAATCATGAATACAGCACAACACATGGCAGTTTTCCACAATCCCAAACACCCTTATAGACAGTTCCCACAACCCCTCCATTTCTTTCAGAGATTTTTTTCTTTCTTGGACGTCCTTTCATTTCTTGGTCAGATTTTTGCTGTGTGCCATTTTTATTAGTTTTGTTTGTTCTTTTCAGAATCATAATTATTTTCTCTTTTTATATCATTTTCTCTCAGCGATTATTTATGTTTTCTGCTTTTTCTTTTCCCTCTCTCTCTGTTGTTTCTTACATTTCCTAAGTTACAATAGCTTGCTTTTAAGTAGCACCTTCAATATAGACAAAATTCTTAAAATGCTTGAAGCATCAGCTAATAGGAGCAGCTTTGCTTTTTCTACCCTTTCCTCAGCTGAGAGAATTGTCCTATGATGAAAGGCTGAGTAAGTTGGGTCTATATTTTGTGGAGTTTAGAAGAATAAGCCCTAATTTCATTGAAACGTTCAAAATTAGGAAGAGGCTTTACATTGTGGATACTGAGATGTTTTGTTGGCTGGGAAATCTAGAACAAAAGTGTACAGCTTAAGGATAAGGGACCAACGATCATTTAGAGTTGACTGAGGAATTTTTTTTTCCTTAAAAAGTTGTGAATCTATCCCGGAGGTCTGTGAATATGCCATTATTACATGTATTTATGCTAAGCTAGACAGATAGTTGGTATCACAGGGAATCAAGGAATATGAGATACAGGCAGGAAAGTGCAGTTGAAGCCCAAGAGGAGCCCTTATCACATTGAATAGCAGAACTGGCTTTTTAGACTATATAGTCTTGTCCTATTCCAATTTTTTAAATGTTCTTCAGAAAGGTAGAATCAGGCAGAAATATTTACTAGTATTACATGCAAATTTTAAGAAAACGCTTAAAGAGGGGAGGAAGCTAGAAAAGTTTAAACTTGAAATTCCAGAGGACAGGATTGAACTATTTCTGATTTGACCACCTTTATGCATCTTAAGATGCCCAGCACCGCGTCTAACTGAGAAGCTCTACCTAGGGACCTTTGTACCTAAGATGGCACTTTTCACCGTATACTTTTCACTGTACTCATTTGACTACTTGTGACAATAAAGCTGATTCTGATTCTACTCAGAGATAGTAAGAACTGCCGATGCTGGAGTCAGAGATAACACAGTGTGGAGGTTAAGGAATACAGCAGGCCGGGCAGCATCAGAGGAGCAGGAAAGCTGACGTTTCGGGTCGGGACCCTTCCAAAATGTCAGCTTTCCTGCTCCTCTGATGCTACCTGGCCTGCTGTGTTCCTCCAGCTCCACACTGGGTTGTCTCTGATTCTGATTCTAACTCTGTAATATGGACACTTCTAATTCAATTGTGAGCTGGAGGAAGAGAAATGTAAAAACAGTCCTAGTCAGAAAAATGGAAAATTCTGAGGGTATGAAGTATGTATGCATGCATAGCTGCACAGAAGTATGAAGGACATTGTCAGAGAATTTTTACAGCATAGAGGGATGCCATTCAATCCAGATACTCTGCCAGGTATTTACAGAATAACTCAGTCAGTCCTATTCTCCTGCTTTATCTCTGCGTCCCTGTAAATTTATTTGCTTCAAGTGCTACTCAGTTTTGGAAATCATTGTTTTGCCTTCGACTGCCTTCATAGGTAGCAGGTCCCAGATCATTATCACTCGTTCTGTAAGACATTTTCATTTAAATCCCAGTATTTCTTGCCTGAATCCTTGTACTATTAGTTAGTAGGAGCAGCTTTTTGTATTCCTTATTTAAGCCTGCCATAATTTTGTATATCAGTATCAAATCTCCCTTTAAGCTCATTTGAACATACAAGTTAGAAGTGGAGTTGGGCATTCAGCCCTTCTAGCCTGGTCTGCCATTCAATAACATTATGGCTGATCCAACTGTGGCTTCAACTCCACATTCCTACCTACCCCTGATAACCTCCAACTCCTTTAATAGTCAAGAATCTAACCACCTTTGTCTTAAGAATATTCAATAAGCCCACCTCCGCTGTTCTTTGAGGAAGGGAGTTCCATAGACTTACATGCCTCTGAGAGGAAAAAAAATTCCTCATCTCCATCTTAATTAGGGACACTTTATTTTAAACTGTGTCATCTAGTTCTAGTTTGCTTCAAGGAGAACAATTTCAAACTTTTCCAACCTAAGCTAACGTTTTAACTAAAATCTTTCAGCCCTGGAAACATTCTGGTAAATCTCTTCAACACCCTCTCAAGGACCCTCAAATCCATTTGTGAGGAAACACAGAAATATTACAGAGTGGGGCCATTGAAAACTGTCCTGTCTGCGCTGGCTTTCTGAATATTTTGACTCAGTTCCAATGTCCTTTCTCCATAACCCTGAATATTGTTCCTATTTAATCATCTAATACCTTCTTGAATGCCAAAACATGAATCTTGGGCTCACCCAGCCTTGAACATTCCAGTAGAACTCAACTCTGAGATAAAATCTAGTCATCGAACCTAAAACTAGAGTGTCAAATATTAGCATTAGGTGTTGAAAATGCCAGTCAACATTAAAGATGAATTCAACAGATCTAATGTAAACTCAAATTTTCACGAATGGCATCAAAGAGCTACACTTTCTTTGTTTTGTACATCTTATCATTGACTTTAGGTAGAAATAGTCTTAAGACATTGACTACAAATTTCTGTTACTTTCCTATGTAATAATGTGGTTCTTCCTTAACATTCCTTGTATTATTTAGTATTTATCATAGCTATACAATGGGTTTATGTATTCCACTTTTAAGGGTTGAGTATAAAGTCCATGGTTCATTCTGGAAGCAGTCTATGTCCTTTGGTTTGTAATTATCTGGCACTATTACTAATAACCAGCTGACATTGAGAAGTTTTCCTGTTCTTACTAAGAAATGCAGAATATTGCTGAGAAAGAGGCATGCTGTTAATGCTATCCATCTTGCATTCATCCAGCAGAATCACAAGAACACCAATGTCAAAGGTATTTTTGCGATTCTGTCCTGATAGTGCAACACGAACAGCTTCAACAGCATATCTCTTTTTTCATCAATACTCAAATACCAATCTCCAGGAACGGTAAGATTTCATTTTACAAGTTAATCTTTTATAGAAAGCTGTAACATTCTTGGTTCAGTTTTGAAATAGGTCGAAACAAAATAGATTTACAGAAAATTGTGCACACAGGTAGGTGTTTATCGAATATCTCAAATGCAGTGAAAAATTGATTGTTAACTCTTCTGTGGCTAAGAACATTTGGGTCACTTGATAATTTGGTTGTTATTCAGTGTCTGAAGCCATGGCTTTATTTAGCCCTTTCAGACTAGGATGGACAGTACTTAATTTCTGTTTATTTGAGCACAATTGTTTCATAGATTTTTTCTCGCTCATTGATATGTTCATAAATTGGAATAGAGCAGGATTAGTTGACTTTATATTATCTTATGCAGCCAATATCTAGTAGAATTATGTTTTTTTGTTACCAGGTCTAATGTACGCTTCACTGCAAGTATTTTAGGTAAACAAGTGGACAGCCTTGCTCCATCAATTACTAGGGTTTTAGTTCAGGGTAAACAAGTAAGTATACACCTTACTCATTGGTACAACAGTTCTTTGATACATTTTCTTTCTTTATTTAACATTGATATTAATTCTGCAATCTTTTCATGAGTCATTTTTTCTAATATTTATGTATCATGGGTAAGTTGTGTAAAATAATAAAATACATTCAAATTTAAACCATACTATATTTCATTTCCATGCCTTGTAAAGCGTGCCCATCCTTTCAGTCAGGAAATGATTCATTTTAGTTGCTGTTGTGAGTGAAAAAAATTCTTTCCCCAGAACATTCGAAAGAACAAAGTTATATTCCACAAACTAAGCAAATCCTAAAACACTTTAGTTAATTTAGTACTTTTTGACATAAAGACATTGCTGTAATGAAAGGAAACATGTCAGCCAATTTGTAGAGAACAAAATCCCGGGAAGAACAATTCTCTCTTATTTATTCATTTGAATGAGGGAATTTTTTTTTTAAGTTTTTTTTTATGTAGTTACCAATTTCCTTTCTCTATCTGTCCAAGAGATCAGCTGTGAAAATATGAGAGTTGCCATGACAAATGTACTCTTCCAATTCCTTTGAATGAATTTTCCAATCAAATAAAACATGAGCAATTTTTTGGTGTATTTGTGTCTATAAGGGGAGATTTGACTGAATTCCATTTTGTGTAGTGCCCATCAGACAAAAGAAATTAAACATTTTCATTTCAATTGTTTAGACCTGGACTCATTCCCAGATTCTAGAGATGAAAGCTGTGTTCTAAGTCATTGTACCATACCATCTGTTTGGAAAAATGAACTTGATTTTGTTTGAATTACCCTTAATGTTTCAATAATTTTATGCAAAGGGTGAGGAATAACACTCCGGAAGCCTCACATTTTTTTGTATATGTACCTAGGTTGCTAAACCTATTAATTTAGCAGAGCATTTTGTTTTAACAGTGCAGCAAACTGGTTAAATAATAGATCTTTTCCTAAGCATTTAAACATTGCACAGATATTTTTAAAGGGAGTTGCAGTCTGACTATCTTAATATCTAAGCACCTTCTCCTCACAATGTTAGACAAACCATTTTCAGCATTCGCAAATACGTTTAAAATTCTTGTTAAATAATTTCTGCTTTTTTTGTCAGCACATGTCAAAGTAGCATATAATAGAAAAGAAATGAACAGCTATAAGGAAATATATAGCATCATGGAGAGGCTTTTCATCACATTCAACATGGCATCATGAGTGAATGAATGTTGCTGCATGTGCTGCTACAGTGTTCTTATGAGCTATTTCCGATATAGTTAGAATAGTGGTGTCAACTCACTTTCACACCCCAAACTGGAGACCAACTTTTAAACAATGTAAAATGATTTAGAGCTTTATTGATTGCAAAAACTAAAAGGGAGCAAAAAAAATTGACTTGTTTATTGCTCTACATTTTGCCTTTCCTTGTCTACATTTAATGACTTTTTTTATGTGTCCCGTATATATGACAAATAAACGAGCATTTTTTAAAAACTCAATCATTTTTGAACTTCTTTATAAGAAGGAATATAAATTATATTTTAAATGATCTTCTATAATTAATTGCAAATATTGGTGCACATTTTTTTTCAAAATGTGTTTATCAAAATGTAATATGTGGCTCATATTTATGTGTACATGTTATGAATAGATTCTTCATTCACTAAGCTTTTCTCACTGCTATTTGCTAGGTTACAATAGGAGTGTTCGGACATGAAGAGGCAGTGATTTCAAACCCCTTGTCTCCAACGGACATAAAGAAGATTGTCTACTCTAAATGCTCCCGGCATGATGAAAGGGAGGCGGTGCTTCAACAAGAACTAGTCATTCATATTGGTTGGCTTATTTCTAATTCTCCAAAACTCTTCCAGGGCATGCTGAAATTTAGAATTGGGTATGTTAAACATGTATGTTATTTGACTTTTCAGCAAGTCCTTATTGAAAAACTGATTTTTTTTTAGTTGAAGACATTAACATGCATAATAATTTTGAGGGAAGTAAATGATTTAATACCTGTAGAGTTGACATTAGGTAGGTCTGATGAATAACTGTAAATTCTTGTGGTGAGTTTAGCAAGTATAGTACCCTCTTGCCACTAAATGCATTTCAGTGGTGAACCAAAAAGTGAGATGTAATTTTTGTAAAACTAACTTGGAGCATCTCAGATATCATATTTTCGATTTTTGCCTTTACTTGCTTGTTGTGCTTATCTGAAGATGCTGCAACTTCATGAATAAAGAACAGTGTGCGCCATTTGCCTTACCATTATTTTGACATAAAGTTATAGGTATGTGTTTTTCTTCAAAAGTGTCATAAGAAGTTAGATAACATCTGTCAATGTATTAATACATCTTAACTGCCGTTCTGGACTAATTGATAAGAACGGTAATAATCATCTTTTGATTAATCCGGTCATCCAAAAATTTCGGATTTTGTAGATGGAGAAAGTGAGGTTCAGTAGCAGTTTAAAGTTATATAGGTTTGTTTGATTGTTAAATTTGTTTAATTATTTATCCACTTCTCTTTTAAAAGCTGCTATGTGTATTCCTTCCTCCAAAGTTTCTGATGGAGCATTCCGTAACTTTACAAAGCTCTGTTTTTAAAAAAAAAATGTGCAAATTTCGCCCTTCATTTGACTTGTGGAGACAGTAACATAGTTGTAATGCCACTGGACTAGTAATCGAGCACTAATGCTTTGTGGACATCAATTAAAATCCCATTGTGGCAATTGGGGTATTTTATATTCACTTAATTTTCTGAGACTGAAAATTAGTCTCAGAAATGGTGGTCATGAAACAATCTTCAGTGGTCGCTAAAAATTCACCTGATTCATTAGTGTCCTTTGAGAAAGCAAATCTGTCATTCTTTCCTGATCTGGCCTACATGTGACTCCAGAGCCACAGGAACCATCTGAAATGGTCTAGCAGTCACTGTTCAAGGACATTTAGGGATGCAGCAATTACTATGCTTGCTGGCGATGCCAATATCCCAAGAAATAATAAGTTTAAAAATAAATCTCTTGGCAATTACCTTAAATTTATTTCCATTGTTTGCGGATTCCTTTTTATTCTTTGTTTCAGTCTGTTATATTCCAAATATGATTGTTTCACTTTTCTCCTTTCATCCATCAAATCCACAATTTCTTCTAACATCCATTTTTGCTTGAAATGTTTCACTTTTGTCAGAACTTAACTTTCCATTAGGCTCTTCACGAGCGAATTAAACTCAATTTCTATCTTTGTTGTTTCTTCCACCTGCAGTGCTAAAATAGCCAATCTTCAAAATCCAATTTCCTCAATTTCCTAATATTTTATTAGGAATTTTCAGATTGATATTCATTGTAGCAACCACCAGCGTGTGATCACAGTCGCAGTGTGCTCCAGGGTATGATTTTGATTCCTTAATGCAAGTTTCTGAAATAGCTATTTACATTGAACATAGAACTGTACAGCACAAGAATGAGCCCTTTTATTGCAATAAAATCAATCTGATTTCACATTTGTTCTTCTGGACTCTTCCATATCCAGCTTTAGCCTGGATTATGCTTGAATTGTATGTTTATAATAACCTACTTGTTCTGACAGAGCCAACTGACCCACATGTCACATGTTGTATTCTTCAAGACTATGTGCAGCAACAATTCCTAGTATGCGAGAACTTCCTACCTTTGCATTGAGATCACCCGTGACAAAGGTGATGTCTTGAGAACGACATTATTTGCTTGATCATGTAGAAAACCTCAAGATTTGGGTTGGGGTGTATATTTCGTAAAATTTTCACCTTGAAAGGTGTACCTACTACTGTGACGAGGAGAATTCTCTGGGAAGTAGCTAAAACAAAGTTTCTAATCGAGAGCCACTGTGAATTCTTTTTCATAATTCTTTTTCATAATTCTCTTTCCCACGTAGGTAATGACTCCACCATTTTAATGGTACTTCTGAGCTCCCATCCACTTTATTTCACATAACCAAGATTATTGATTCATAATCTGCACTTCTCTTGAAAGACATTTTGGCTTTCCCTGTTTGATTGATGTTTTTGCATTCTAAGCCATAATTATTTTGAGATCAGATTTTTCCATTCTTATGTTTGTTTTCAAAGTCTTTCACAGGTTGTGCAATAAGATGACAACAGTCCTGTTTCATCTGTTACAGAGATAGTAGGAACTGCTGATTTTTTTTTTTCCTGAAGGGTCTAGACCCAAAACATCAGCTTTCCTGCTCCTCTGATGCTGCTTGGCCTGCTGTGTTCATCCAGCTCTACACCTTGTTATCTCTGATTCATCTGTTGTTCATTAATGTCTATACCAGCAAGGTGTTGACTCAAATGGTGCCAGCCTCCTTTCTATGTCTTGATAAAAATTGTTCATTCTGATTATATTTGGTCAGGTAAAGGGGAAGCATGAGATGGTTTCCTGTTTCTTCCCCCATATATGTTTGCAGGGAACACAAACTCTCTTCCAAATGATCCCCACAATCAAGCCATTGTCTTTCCAGGTCATAACTCCTCCACTTTCACTGCCATAGAATCCACAGATTCACCATTGGCTATAATTTGTAACCCTAAGCACAGCACCCTCTGCTACCAGCCAGGCTAGCTGGAATTGGTAGGGTTGATGATACCGTCAGTCTTACTCAGGAATCTGCAAATGCCTTTCAACTGAGATAATGAAAAGCTTGAATCCAAAGGAAATTCGCGAACTTGTTAATGAAATTTTGGGAAAAAGAACAGTTTGGAGTTCCATTGGATGTTTGAAAACAAAGGATGGTTCAATTAATGGAAAGGAGCAAAGTCAGAGAAAGGCTTTTATAAAAAAAAATCCTTGACCACAAATCAAATATAAAGAGGCATGCCCAGAAATCTTGCAAGAAGTAATGGAATTTATGCTGAAGATGAAGGAGAATGGGAGAGCACTTGGACTGGATGAAGAGTGATTATTGTAGCAACAGTTGAGCTAGGAACCAAAGAAACCTTGACTCTAATCACCAATAAGATCTAAAACACTGGCATTATCCCTGAAGATATAATCAAGTCTGTTGTTCCCAATTGCTAAAGAAATCTGGCATAATAGAATGTGAGATATAAAAACCAATCTGCCTAATGATCAGCAGTAAGAATCATCAGAGAATCCAAATGAATGGAATTAGAGAAAGTGAAATCAGAGATTTCAGTCATTCACTGGCTTTCTGAAAGATTAAAAGAGTCATGAAATGCAATCCAAATTAAAAACCTTGACAGAAAGAGCAATTGAAATGAAACATTTGACCTTATGTTTTATTGATTGCGCTAAAGCATTTAATAACGTTCAACAAAATCATTTCATGAAAATGCTGCAAGATATGAACATTAATGGAAAAATCTTCAAATCATCAGGATTAAGTACTGGAATCAGATAGCACTGATCAGATTTGAGAACAAATCTGTGATTATGGAGCAACTAAAGAAAAAAAACGGCTGTGCTGTCACACTGGGGTGTTTCTCTTTTTCCAGCAAATATGCTTTCTGAGGAATTAAAGAGAAGTTATAAAGCTAGGAGGGAGAGTCATCAACAACATTGGCTGCACCAACCACACCGCACTTACTACAACAAATAAAGATGATTTCCAAAAATAATTGATACAGTTATGAAGGACATTGGTAGACATGGGCTTGTACTCAATGAAAAAGAAAAAGGTTCATTCCATTTGGTACATCACAGTAAATGAAAGTAAGTCAGAACATGTCAATCAATTCAACTATCTAGGAAGCACAGTACCATTGATGTCAAAAGCAGTACTGAAATCCAAAATAGGATTGGACAGGCCAGAAGTGTTTTTACAAACTGGAGTAACATTCTAAGACATTCAGCTGGAGTTTAAAACAAGAATCCATGCACTAAATTACTATGTCCAGTCACTAACCAGTATGAATATGAAGCAGGAACATTAGGAAAGAGGAGGAAAAGAAAATCAACAGCTTTGAAATGTGATGTTTGAAGTTAAGCTGCATCAAGAAAAAAGCTAACAATGAAATACTAAATGAGGCCAGAAGAACAAGATAATTCTTGAATAGTATTGTAAGGTGACTAATGAAATACTTTGAACAGAAGTTTTGGACTGCCTAGTCACCACTGGAAGAATTAATAGGTGAAGAGCAAGAGGCTTTGAGTAAAATGAGCAGCTGGACAACAAGTAGGCTTAACCACAACTCACAACAATGAGTTCATCCATAGTTGCTATATCAGAAAATTTGGAATTGTGCCATTCAGATTTCCATTCAGATGCTTAACAGTAGAGATCAATTTTCCCTACTAATTTTACTAAAATATTTAAAAGTTTGAATGTATCTAAATATCTTAATTTCATATTCCAATCTAAGCCCATTTTCTTCAGTTTCACTTTATAAACCTTTGTTAATGTATTTCTTCTGTGCTGTCTACATAGCATTAATAAATGTCTTCAAGTAGTACACTAAAAACAGAGCAAAATGCTCTACCTCCTGCTTAGTTACTATCCCTATTTGTAATAGTTTAAGATTGTTATACATTATCTGAAACCCAACTCTCTGTCCCTCAACAAATGGTCCAGTAATCAAGAGCCCAAGGCTAATGTTCTGGGAACATGCGTTCAAATACCTCATGGCAGATGGTGGAATTTGAATGAAATGTTTTTAAAAATAAGAATTTTTTTTTATAAGGCTAGTCTAATGGTGACTGTTGCTGGCCATAAAAACCCCTCTGGTTCACTGATGTCTGATAGGGAAGGAATTGTTTGCATCTCTCCATAGTAAAAATACCCGAAGCCTGAAGAAAGCCAGTTATTTTCTCCTTCCACTTGCCTTGAACCATAGCGAAGAGATTTTGTTGTTAGTATGCCACTTTGCTTCCCGTGAAGAAGTACAGGAGAAAGGAGATTG